TAAAAAAAAAAAAAAAAAAAAAAGACTTGATGTTGTTTCAACTCTTGGGATCCATATAACCTTGGCTTGAATATCAGATTGGCCCATTCAATGGCAAATGAAGTGATTGAGCAACGAAAAATTTAGAAGTTGGCTCGATACTAACATCCTATAAGAAAATCTAATAGTTCACCAATATAACACCATAGTCGATCAAAGCTCTTGTACTCATTAGCTTGTTACGTCTAAATACTCACTATTCATTGGATCGAGCTAAGTATCTCTCAGCTTCTTTACGTGCTTCACATGAAAACTTGTGAAAACTTACGAAACCATTTACGTGTCTTGTTCAAGTATAATGCTCTTGTTCGAGTAACACTTACAAAACCTCAATATTTAAAAGTTCAAAATAATATTAATGATTTAGAAAATAGACTTCAACTATAGTGGTATATATGTATATTTTATAATGTCAATAACATGGATTTTATGGGCATACGAACGAACTTATCGTTCAATGTTAAAGCAATAACCTACATTCTTTAAAACAAATTCACAGGGAAAATTTAAAATTTCACACCAGATGCACTCCACAAAAATTGAAAAAGAAGAGAGAGAATATACCATAAGAAATTAACATTAATATTAGAAATATAACTGTATTTTGAAAATGCTATATTTTAAAAGTAAATAAGTTCATATGTAAACCCATTTTTCTAGAAAAATGATAATTCGACTAAAATTTTTTCAAAACATAGCAGTTATAATAAAACAATGATTCAAATAAAATAAGGACCAGTTGGAATTGTAATATGTAACAGTGCACATGTTTATTAGTTTTGTCAAAATGGAAAATTTTTCTTCAACCTTCGCAAAATGTAACAAATCCTCTCAAAATCTATCTCCAATCTTTCAATTATGTAGCAATACTCGTCATTCCCTCCATTTTGATCATTAAATGATGGATTTGATCTTCCTTTTTTAAATAAATAAATATAAAAAAAGCGGTAAAATAAGAAAAAATCACTTAATCGTGACTACACAATGGGATGGTTGTAACTTCCACTTAATTCCAAACAACACCCAAATATGTAGAAAACACACTTGCTCAAGAATTTAACAGGAGACGCACCCTTCCGAATGTTGATTCCAGGAAACTTGAAATGCACTTCCATGTAACAAACTGATTCATGGCACTGAATTACTTGGCATTTTTATCAACAAATGATGATATAAATGCTTATCACCTTGATTCTGTTCCAGGACATATCTTTCAAGTTCGACTTCCTGGATAGAAATATTCGATCTGATTATCCTTAATCCTGAACTGGAAATTGCAAATCTTTCCCGAGTTACAGACGCCACCTCCAAGTCCTTTGTCTATAACAGTCAACTGCAGAGACGGAAATTTGAGCACCATTTGGTTAGTCAATACAATTAGTCGCAAGATAGATTGTTCTCTTTGCATGGATAGTTCTTTTAGCCATGCTGGACCAAGAAGGTCACTTAACGTCTTGCTTTTTATGCCACATCACATTTCCATTTGCCATGTCATCAAATTTGTTAGCTGTGGCAAACGGAGATGGATGGGGTGAGTCACCCAATAACCATGCAAGCACAATCAACTTTTTGTCGAATGCAGGGACTGAGCTAGGAACTTAAGTTACAGTGGGCAAAAATTTAGAAATTTAATGTACAAAATACCTATTTAGTGCTTACCTAGTTTGTTGCTAACAACGTGGACGGATAATTAGATGAATTGTTAAGTTTGTTTCGATACTTTAAAAACAAACTAATCAAATGCCTACTTAGTGCTTACATAGTTTGTTGCCGACAACGTGAACGGGTAATTAAATGAATTGTTAAACTTGTTTCGATACTTTAAAAACAAACTAATCAAATGACTATAAAAAAATTTGATTAGAAAATTCATTAAANATGAATTGTTAAACTTGTTTCGATACTTTAAAAACAAACTAATCAAATGACTATAAAAAAATTTGATTAGAAAATTCATTAAAAACTACAAGTTTGCAACAATTAAAAATCATAAATATAATGTATAAAATCATAAACATAACATAATTAAAAAATCATAACATAACCAAATATAAAATAAGAAACCGATTTTACAAATTGTGGTGGGTTGGTTAATGGTTGGTGGGCTAATGGACTAAAATTAAAATATTTCAATATTTTCTTGGGACTTTTATTGGACATGGGCTTGGGCACTACCGGGCTGTCCCTTCCCTCCGTCTCTGGTCAAATGGATGTCGCTACATGTAAGATATACTACTAGAATTCTACTTTTCCAGAATTCAATATCTCGTATTTAAGCATACAACATAAGCACTAAAATCTAAATACTTGTGTCAAAACTTAAACAAGATAACAGGATTAGACAACTTTACCTGTCCATGGACATCGGTTGCTAGACCAGTGGATAAAGGTTCAGCTTTAATCACTACATCTGCATGGTATTCCATTTGTAAAATTAATGATGACTTATCCAAGCTTGAATATATATCCTCGTGGTTAAGAGTGATAAGTGAACAACCCTGATAAAGAACAGAGCATAAAACATTTTCCTCGATAATAGCAGCACAAGCTTAAAGTAAAATATTGAGTAATGATTTCTTACAAATTCAGCTGTTAAGCTGTAGCAATAATGCAGGAAATCAAGGACCATATTTGACAAGCAATTAACAGCCACTTCCAGAAGAGAGACATCGTCAATTATAATAGTAATGTTCCTGGCAGGAGATGAACATATTTCTACTGCTTTGTGAACTTTCTCGTACAACGAAAGAAGTAAATCTTCACTAGTTTTCTCTTCCTCTCTACCTAATCATAAATTGTGCCATCAGCTGTTTTGTTGTTCAAATGAACAAGAAAGATCAAATAAAAACGTTTAGGGGGAAGTTAACTTAACCAGAAACAGTCAATTTCTCATGCAAAGTGCACCTTCAAATTTCTACTTTGAATTTAATCAATCTTGTTAGAAAATACAATGCATAGTGTTGTATAATTCAAATGATGATGATCTATTACTTAGATATGTTGTCCATATGGAATTATTTTGTTGTAACATCTATAACTGCTTGCAGTTTAGGTGGACACATTTGCTCCTTCAGGATAAACCAATTTAAATATGAAGCATGTCTATGGAAACATAGGACAAAAATAATTAACATCACATGAAAATTTTATTTCCACGGACGTCCTCACCTAAACTATTGAGCATTAGCAGGTCGAAGAATAGCAATCTCTTATTATCCCGCCGGACAACCAAGTTGCATCCCTGTTAAATCAACAACTCATGGGCTTTAGAATTCAGTAACAAAAACATTGAAAAATATTTTTTTATCTTAAGCCCTTGTTTGAGCTCCATTTTTTTGGGGGGTGGGAATGCATTCTGAATAATATATTGATGGAGAATTTATGGTTAAAAATTAAGGAAAAATTTTGGGTTTGCGTGTAATATTATTTTATTGAAAAATTGTGGTTGAAAATGAGTTTTGAAAAAATGAATTTTTAGAATAATAGGGCTCAAACAAGGGCTAAAAGTCAAACATATACATACTCATGAAGATCCAGTACACAAAGAAAAACCTAGCTTCCATATAACCTTAGCATATGAAGACATAAAACATGTTTCGAATTTTTCACATGATACAAGAGAAGCAAATGGATCAAGAGTCAACCAGAAAATTTGCCACAAAATTTCAAAATCCTCAATACAGTGCAAAAGGAAGCAAGTGGTTGTTGAGAACGAAAACCACTTGAAGTAAATTTGCTAGTTTCAGGTTGAATAGAATTTTCATTCTTACATTATCGGCCTAAGTTTTAGAAGTTCCTCCAACGACGGACTCCGTATACATAGAGTGAGTGCCCAATTATTTGCCACCATCAGACTGATATTCTTTCAGACATTCAAATAACAACATAAAAGTTCAAAATCTTATCTATACTTTTCTTGGAAAGCCTGTTACCAGTAGATTTCAAGTAGAAGTACCAAAACTGAATGCATTCTAGTTTGTCGCTACTATAGAATTTCAACCAGAGAGATTCAGGCCTCTCAGAATCTCTGTACAGCACCAATAAGCAATGAGAAATGTGAAATGAATATCCAGCATTTGATAATATTTGCGATCTACGGTACTCTGAAAAACTTGAGTCTCTGCTCAATAAGTGAAAAACAATGGTAAACTGATGAACGGAAATTCATTTTCATGCACAGTTGCCAACCTGACACAACCCAAAATACATGGAAATATGGTCGATCAAAACCTGGAAACTTTTTTCAAATATAATGAAAATATCACTCCTGGCACTTAATTTGCACAATAAATTCATGAAATCATAGGTACATAATACACCATCATGTCATGTACTGAAAATTTCTGATCCAGTAAGGCTAAATATTTGCCCTAGAGAACCAAGTACTACCTTTTTCTGATACCAAAATCCTCCATTATCTTTATTGTTTACATTAGTCTCTGAATGCTTGATCATTCAGTAGCGTGGTCATAAAGAAATCGTAATAGTTGATGTTCATAAGCTGATATAGGTTTTGGCACAGTTCCACCCTTTCCTCACGTGCTAATTCTAGAATTCAGTGACATTGGAATTTTGTCAACTGTAAAAAAGCAACATGTATTATCTGTAGCTTATGACGGACTATTTGGAGTCTAACTAAAACCTAATATAATTGATCAGTAAGATATAGCTGATACAATCGTATTCTACTAAGTAATCGTGTAGCTTCAGCTACCTGATCATACAAGACTTGTGTCAACAGACAAGACCAATCTCAATTGTGCAGCTCTGGTTCATGAATGCTCCAAGTCACAGATACCAAATCAAACAATGATAATCAGTACAGTCTCCAAATTCTTCAGCAACCATTCAATATTTAAACAAAATGGTTGTTTATGGACAGATCATCTCCAAAGCCCATATGGATATAGGTGAAGCAACCTTATAGTAGAAATAAGAAATCTCTTACAATAATTCATAATAAAGTATTTATACTTATACTTATACTTAAATACTTGCACGCGCATAAAAAATATGCAATTTTCCTCTAGTAAATTCAATCTTCCAAATATAACCAACAATAAAAACGATAGCCGGGGCAATAAAAAAAGGAACTTGGTGCTTTCCGTACGAAAGCTGTGCCACTAAACTTGCTCCTCCTCCATTCCCACTCAACCAAAAAATAAGTAAATCGTACACAGAGAGAGAAAGTAAGTACCATTTTGCGGAGGATGCGATCATAGTGAGAGAAGGGTTGGGAAAAGGAGAGGAAAATGACGGCGTCAGAGGAGTTAGGGGATAGTGAGCGCTTGAGAAAGTGGTGGAGCACGAATGCTCCACTAGTCTCGACGCAATCCTCGATGAGAACCACTCGCCCGCCGCCGCCGAGGGCATCGTCTAAAAGGTTTGGAACTTGGACATCCATTGTTGTGACGGGTCCAATTGAATACGGATGCATTTATATATCTAGTCCGACCCGGATGTCCAGCTGCGTCTCTAATGTGCTACATATACATAATTATCTACATAATAGTGTACATAATTACACATTACACTAAATTCAACTTTTAATTCAAATCTCACACTTACATAATAACAATCAAATGATTGCCACATTACATTATAAACACCATTATATACAATAATTATTTATAAATAGAATTTTCCTTAAAATTATTACCCCTCGTCCTAATTCATTTTTTACACGAATTAAAATATTTTCTTTAACGTCATTAAAAAATTAACTTTTGTTAAGATCTTTCCTAATTTAACTTTATTTAAATTTCAGTATGTAGTAATAAATTATTGTTGAAATTAATAAAGAATTTGAATGATTTAATTTGAAAAAGAAAATAAAAAATGAGAATTGTTCCATATTTTCAAGAAGTGGGAAATGTATATATTTAGATGATTTCAAAAAGTTAGCATATTAAGTGAGAAAAATTGAATATGGATATATTGGTAAAGAAATAAAATAAAATATTTTAAATTAGAAAACATGCATATATATTTGAAATAAGGGAAAGATGAAACTCAGCTTGTATAATTGGAAATGAGGGAGTATTATTTGTAATCATTTTTCTCACTCAATTACACCAATTAGTTGGATATAATTAAAACAAAAGAATATTTGGACCAAGCTTTTAAGCTACACCGAATTTTTTTTCATATGGGTTGTCAACCTTTATGTAATATAGCATTTGGATCCTCTTGTTTCAATTTTGAGAGATTCAGGTTGAAGGCGGATTGAAAGTATCAATTCGAATAAAAAGTCACATGCAGCGAAATGAAATACTTTCAAAGAATAAAAATAATTAATTAATTAAATGGAGCGATTTTATTTCGTCCGCTTCTCGAAAATTTGAAATGAGGTGGGATTGGTAAATGCAATTAGTGATCTACGAATACATTTTCATATATTTTGTCACATGTGTTCATGATAGTCATTGGGATGAAAAATGTTTGACAAAAATTGTGTTAGGAGAAGGATAAAAATGAGGCAAGTCGGGTGAACTGCAAAACCTTGAAACCTTTCCCGACTCGAATATGATTTGGCCATGCTATGTCTCGTTTGATTCACCATCACCTCATTAAACTTCAAAAATGTTTATCAAAAAAATTTATGATAAAAAATAAGACATATTTTTCAAACTTCGTATATAAAAACGCGACAAGACAATCTATAGAGGCAGTATAAAAGACTCCTTTCTTGGATTAAAATCACAAGCCTATTTTATTTAAAGATACTTAATGTCGATCAAACCTATCTTTTATGCACCTTTCAATTCAAGATCGCAATTTTCTCAAAAATAATCACAATGAAATCATGGGCCATTTGACAACAAGCATTTGGACAAGGGCACACATGCAAAACCAACCTAAACAAATTTGTTGTATTCCTAGTCAGAAATCGTGTTTGGTCAGCTTTTGTTGGACCCTTCGCATTTCCTTCCTTCTCTCCTCTTTACCCCCCATCACCACCATCGCCATTTTCTTCCCTTCCCTTCCCTTCCCTTCCGATTCTTCAATCACATACCCGCTCAGTGTGTAAGGGAGAGTGAGTGTGTGTTCGAAGAGTAAGAAGCAATGGGTTGGTTCCCGTGTTCTGGGAAATCGAAGAAGAAAGGAGAAAAACAAAAGGGCAACAAGTCTGATCATCAGATCCCTTCAAATATAGGTTCTTGTACAGCATATTACTAGATAAATATGTGTATGATTAAAGACATTGTGAAGTGGCAAAGTTCAAATTTTGTTTGCTCATTTCCACCACCATTATTGTCTGTTCTTTCAAAGAATCACTTTTTTTTTGCTGCTTATAATTTAGCTATTCATTTCTTTGTATTAAGGAGGATAAGATAAATTATGGGTTATATTCCATTTATAGACGTGTTTGAATTTTCATATGGGTGTACATTAATTTCTTGATCTGTCTTATAATTTCTCTGCTCCTCCGCTGTTCTATCTCTTCTCTTTTTATATTTGTCTTTTACTTGTAATTTCCCGCATTGTAATAGAACTGTCGATTAATGAAATCAAAACTAGTTGTCATTGTTAGTAATTTCGGTTTATGTTCTTCAATTTCAGTAGTTACAATTTATCTTCTGCATCTTGAGGTTATAGCTGCTTGTTATTGGCTTATTTTTACCGAAATTGAGCTCCAACCGTGACATAGATTTATTACTTAGTTTTCAAACTTGCAAACCGATTTTCTTCGATCCAGATCTTATGTTTCTCATGTTATTGAGCGAAGATGTTATTATGTTAAAGTTTCCATTTTATTTATTTATTTATTTAAATTTTTTTATTTACGGAACGAAATTGTGTTTAGCATATTGAAGGCCTGGCATCTCGTCCATTGGGTTGTGTCAAACTGTCCTAGAGAAATTGATATTGTGGGATTTGGCATATCTTTTGTGAACTTTCATGTTTTGTAAGGACTGATGAAAGCAGAAGTTTCAATTAGTGAAGGAGGTTTTAAACTTGTCTACGCGATTGAAGGATTCCTCTCTGGTGACTTTTGTACATTCACTCATCCTTGCTTGCTTTTGAATGAGTTTTCGGCATTTCTTATGTAACCACAAAATTGCTTATGTATCATGGATTAACCATGTATTAGTAGCTTTGGTTGGGAAAAGATCAGGTCTTGTTCAGTTACATTGACGGTATGTTTTGGCTTTTAAATGTGTCTTTTCAACTTGCCATGTTAGCCAAGTTTAATAACTATAATAGAGGGGCCAAGTTTAATAACTATAATAGAGGGGACATTAAGGGTGCGTTTGATTTGGTGCTTTTAGTTTTAATTTTGTACAACACTGAAACCTTGTTGGTTTGTGTTGGAATTTATACACAATAATAGAGAAGTGAAAAAAACAGAAATCAACACTGGGATTTAACGTGGTTCGGCAATGTGCCTAGGTCCACAAGGAACGCCACAAGGAACGAAGTGGAGATGATTTGATTTAGTATGAATAATAGGGTTACATCATCTATAGTGATTTTATTCAGTTTTTATCCTTGTGATTTGAACAAAAAATGAGCTAAAAACACATTATTTTTCTTGGGTAATTTCACACTGGAATTGCATTTATCCAAAATCCTCATAATATATCCAAGCCCAAAACTTTGGGATTCCTTTTAAAACCATATTTGGGTCTGTATGATTTGAAAAAAAATGGATGTAAACTTCACCTTTGTACATAATGACGTAACAAGGTGTTATTGTGGGCATCCTCAAAATTTCACGGAACGAAGGCAAATCCCAGTTAATGATTCCATGTAGATGTGAATTTGTACAATTTCAATTACTTTTCTTGGTTAGATCCTCTGGTTCATACTCAATCAAGGTCAGTGATTGTCTGTTTATTGTGCAAATCCTCCAAAATGAGGACTTGGAAAAAAAATTCCAATTTTACAAATTTCTGTTGTGCACTTCTTCTTCCGTGGATGTTCATCGCTATTATGCGGATAAGGAGCTGAGTTGAATCAATGGTTTCTTTTCAGTGGGTCTTTTTTTGGTTGTTTTAGACTTTTTGAATGAATTTAAGATGCTTGTAGAAATGCCAAGTTGAAATATTTTGTTTGTCAATGTAATATATTTGCAAGTGTATGAAGTAATGCTTAGTTGAATTTTTTAGCTTGTCGGTGTAATATTCGCAGGTGTTTGTATTTTATTTTTGTAGCAAAAAAATATTGTAAGATTCATCAACTTTGAAATGTATATATGACTTTATGATATATATGTCTAAAATTGTTCTATTTTATAGAATAATCAAATTGATTAAATAAAATGTCATAAAACAATTCTAAAAATTTCAAAGCAAATGTGTTTTTCGAATTTTTGTTTTGAGAAACAGTTTTGAAGCGTGTGAAACCAAACGTATTTTTCGTAATCTTAAAACAGACTCTTAAAACATAAAATTGAAATGCAAACCAAATGGGACCTAGAATATCATATGTTTCGTATGACTCCTTTTGTGAACTGATGAAGGACAATGTACTATTGGTGCCAACAGTTTCTAGAGCTCCCTGTGATTGAAAAAATACAACCAATCGTTGCATTGTCTTTTCCGATTTGTTCCATTGTGTTTCTGAGTTTTCTGTAACATGATACACTGATATATTATATCTCAGGAAACTTTCTATTATTGCCGATGTTATTTTCTAATGAAAACTGTTCAAATTAGTTTCTCAGAAGGTTTGGTTTTTGAGTTGATTTATTTCCTCATTGTAGATAAACAAAAGGTAAATTCATCCCTTGATGTAAAGAAGGAATCTTTTGATGGGGGATCTGGTTATATTGCTGCACACACCTTTACTTTCCGTGAATTGGCTACCGCAACCAAGAATTTTAGGGCTGATTGTCTTTTGGGTGAAGGTGGATTTGGCAGAGTATATAGAGGGCGATTAGAGAGCACTAATCAGGTTTGTTCGTCTGCCATTGAAAAATTTGAATGTGATTATGGTTGTCGGTTCTACTATTTCTTTAGTAAGCAAATCTTCTCTCTTGCAATTGAAATCGTGAACAACTTTTCCGCAAATGCTTGGTCTGTATAGTATCTATATATTGAATTGAAAAATTGAATTCCAAATGTTTGTTATTTAGTTAATTAGCCATAATTTATTTTTTTGCCTAGTTTGTATCTTTGATAAATGAAAATAGATAAGCACTATTACTAAGAGGAGACCATGAATTTTGACAAAGGATGCTTTTCTCGTGTTGGTAAATGAATGAAGATAAGCACTATTAGAAGTTTTTAACCTTCGAGATTCAAAGAAATGAACAGCTACATTTCTTTCCTCTTCATAATTGAGTTTATTTTATGGAATGGGTGCTTCCACTGCGTATGGAGGATGTATTGAAAGCACGGAGGAAAAGATTTTGTAATAAGGATAGTAAGCTTGTTTATGACCTTATTCTAGGATGCATTGTGTGGAGGTGAAAAACAACCATTGTTTTGATGATCATATATGAACAACAGAGCAGATGTAAGAATTATTTTATTTGAGACTGTATATTTGGTTTAATGTTGCGGCGACTACTCATATAGATGGGTTGTCCAATTTTATATTATCTCTGTCTTGTATATATTGATAACACACTTCCTGTGTATTATCCATGATTAATAAAATATTAGATTACCTATTAAAAAAAATAATATTGAGTTTATTTTATGAAATTGTTCAAGACCTTAGTTGGGAAGCTGTGACATACCTGTCCCACTTTGAGTTCAGGCTGACAATTAAATTACTCTCTGTTGCACGTCTTATTCTTGGTTTCTGTATTTAGTTCATTGAATTCTACTATAGATAGTTCCAATAGGAGACTCTGCATCGTTTGTAGCTTAATGCCTGGAAAATGGAACTTTGTACCCCGCGTCTTGAGGTAAGTGGTGATACCTGAACCCTATCGTGCTTTTTTTATGTAGATTGTTGCTATAAAGCAACTTGATCGCAATGGTTTGCAAGGGAACAGGGAATTTCTTGTTGAAGTGTTGATGTTAAGTTTACTTCATCACCCACACTTGGTAAACTTGATTGGTTATTGTGCTGATGGAGATCAGAGACTTTTGGTGTATGAATACATGCCATTAGGGTCGTTGGAAGACCATCTGCATGGTATGTATTGTAACATACTTAATTTTGTAGATATAATGTATCTTTGCTAATTTGTTTTATTTGAAGAAGGGATAAACATGTTTATTAGTTGGTTGAATAAGTGTGTCATACTTTTTACTCTATTTTTATTTAACATCAGGAACTTAGAGAAATTAGTTAACTAATCAACATGCAAAAAAAAGTAGTTATGCTGATTAACCATAACATCCAATTATGAACTTTTTGGCATCTCAGACTAGGTTTTGTGACATTTTACCAACACTTTTGAAGAACTCCTCTCAAATGATTCAAATCCTAGTTTCTAATGTGTCATTTACTAGTTTGTGATAGCTTGTACTTTGACATTTGCAGACATTTCACCTGATAAAAAGAGACTTGACTGGAATACAAGAATGAAAATAGCCGCCGGTGCTGCAAAGGGCTTGGAATATTTGCATGATAAAGCGAACCCACCTGTTATCTACAGGGATTTGAAATGTTCAAATATTTTACTAGATGAAGCGTATAATCCAAAGCTATCTGATTTTGGGTTGGCAAAATTGGGCCCTGTTGGGGACAAGACCCATGTATCCACCAGAGTGATGGGAACCTATGGATATTGTGCGCCAGAATATGCAATGACAGGACAACTTACATTGAAATCAGATGTTTATAGTTTTGGAGTTGTCCTTCTGGAGATCGTCACTGGCAGAAAGGCAATTGACAATTCAAGAGCTGCTGGCGAGCACAATTTGGTTGCATGGGTAAGAATCTCTTGTATTTATGTGAGTTTTAACACACACACACACACACACACATGTATATATTTTAACTTATTTGCTATATAGTTTTGGTTAGACTTCTTTAACACATGTAACTACGCAGACCATGATATACGTTGAGCCTGGTCATCTTCATTAATGTGCAGTATTCTGTTCATTTGTGTGAACTTACGCTTTTTAGAGCTATATCAGCTGTTAATATATTCTTTTCAAATCTAATCTTTGTTCAGATTTCTAATGTGCATTTGAAACAGTGATATAGAGGATATGATGATCAAATTGTTTAATTGATCAGATTGCAGGAATGTAAGACACTAGATGGGATCATGTCCTTGTGTATTTGGTTACAAAAGGGATTCTTTAACACTATGCTACAAAACAATATGATTTTTAAAGTGCTGGTTAGGTTTTACAAAATAATATCAAAGACGAACCATGGCAAAATAGATTTGGAAGATGTAACAAGACTGCATATTACTTTTCGTACTTATAAAAGAAGAAGCTGTTATATAATAAGCCTGTTTGAGCCCCATTCTTATTGAAGAATGCATTTTGGAATAGTAGATTAATGGAGAATATGTGGTTAAAAAATAAGAAATTTTTTTGTGCTTGTGTGTAATATTACTTTGTTGAAGAATGTGTGGTTGAAAAGAAGAGAGAAAAATGTATTTTGGAAATAATAGGAATCAAACAAGGGCATAATATATTGTTTCAAGAAAACCAAAATTTGATTAAATATCTCGCTTTCATTTGTATCTGCAATTGCACATGTAACAATCGCCTTAGCAACGAACAATTTGAGTTGGGACCTTTAACAAAGAATTATAGATTGGAACAATTTGAGTTTGGGACCTATAACAAAGAATTATAGATTGATCCTAGGGGACCTTGGTATAAGTGTGAGCAGAGTGACATTGATTAGGAACATATTGATTCTCAACAGTCAAATTCAATGTCTTGAATATGTCAATAAGAACATCCGATTAGTAGGTTTGGCTTTAACTCTATTTTCTTGGAAGTCCCTCAGTTCCTTGAGGCTAATCCAATCTTTTTCTCCATCTTTCAAATAGCTCTGTGACAACGAACAATTAAAGAGAAGGAGAAACGAGAAAATGAAGAAGACTATGCCTCCGTTTGGTCCCCATTAATTTTTATTCCATTACATTCTATTTTTCTCTCTCATATTTTCAACCACATAATCTTCCATGTAAATAAAAAAATTTCCTTCTTTTTCAACCACTCATTTATCAAAAACATTATTCCATCAATTTTCATTTTCACAAAATGGGGGCCAAATGGGGGCTAAGAATGGGCTACTTAAGTTAACACCACAATATAATTCTAGGTTACATTCTCAAAATCTTTCTTAGTAATCCTCAACTTAGAAATTGTAAAAGCCGTGAGAAATACATGTGGAAGACATACTAAGAAATGCATTTGATTTACTAGTGTTATGTGGTATTGTCTTGAATTATCATTATGGGCAAAAGAGTAGAGTAGCCTCAATGGTAGGAGGAACTTCTAGAAAGTCCTAATGAAAGTCTAATCTGTATTAACCAAAGATTAGCAAGGGTTTCTTAATTTGTATGTTTATCCTTTCTTTGCCAATAACTAACAAGTTTTTGCCTAGTATACTTCTTTTTACTTGATATACCGAGACAAATGAATTCAAACACATTTTCTTCATCTTCAACTTCCTTCTCATTTTACTCTGATTATTTAAATATTGTATTAGAACTTGGGTTCCTATCAACTCCATGTGTGACCTCTTCTTGTTTATATGCTCATCTTGTTTATATGGGTGGGGTGGCGTGGGGTGGGCGAGGAGTGGGAGGGTGGTTGAGAAACTTGTTCGCTTATAAATTCTTGATTCATGTGCGAGAAATACTCCTCCATTGACTTTTTGACCCATGGAAGAAAGCCACAAACTCTTCAAGAATGGACTGGTTGGAAAATGCATGTTGTTATTCCCCATCTGATAACCACTTGGTTTTGATTGGAACACCACGGGCATATTTTTCGACCCTGCCTTAGAAATTGTAGCGTACAATTTTTATCTTGTGCGAATCAAGATCGAGAAAATGAAGTTTTTCAATCACTGACTTAAATTCATTGTCGAAGTGTACTCGGCAAAATATAAAGGTACTTATAGTAGCACAGGCCAATTTGGTATTTCACAACAAAGTGATAGGTGGAACTGCCATGAAATACATAACACGGATTATTTTTAGATGGTGAATGGGTTCTTTCTTGCATTCAATCCTATTTACTGGTGCTTCCTTTTTTTATTTTGGTATGAAGTAGTGTCAAACCAAAATATCCAACAAGCATCAACTCTCCTTGAAAGAAGGTGATCCAATAGCACCTTCTGGGGTTGGTATTGCTTTTTTGGAGGGAGCTTTAATAAGACGCTTTGCCGAGGCTCAAGTAGAAAATGGGAAGGAAGAATTGTCGCTAGACGCCTAGTATAGTAAAAATACGCTGATATGTATGCTATAAAATGAAGAATCTTATTTACATGTAAAGAGAGGGGTAGCCTCCCAAACTAGAGAACTTTTAAGAAACTTATCAAGTCTATTATGTTGCCTATATCTTATTACTATTCAATAATTATAACACAAAGTGAAGTTCTATTGCTGTTTTGTGGTGGTTCACGTTTTGAATAAAAAAAGTGCAAAATCTCTGGAAGAATTTAGTTTTGGCGGGATATGATTTCATGGGATGAGCAATGGAGGTCTAACAAATTGAGGGAAGTACTTGAACAAATGCTACTTGTCAAAATATCATTAACAAGATGTTTGTAATTTTTGTTGTATCCTTGAAGTCATCTCGTGTACTGGCAAATGAGTAGAATCCAACTGGATCAGTAGCCTTATTATTTGGGTAAGTGGGAGCTTTACTAATATTTCAGAGTAAAAATTTATACGTATCATTAAGAGATACAGGTCCCTAGGTTATGTGTGATAAGCAGTATAGAATAACGATAGTTGAATGATCAGGATTTTAACTTCTTTTTCTTTTGAATGGTTTCTGGAGTTGTCTACTCACCAAACATACCATAATTTTCTTACATATGATTCCAAGATCTATAGATGCATAAAAGCGTGTGTAAATTTCTAGCTTATAATTACATGTTTAATAGTATCTCAATTCTGCAGGCCCGGCCCTTGTTCAAAGACCGTAGGAAGTTCTCACAGATGGCTGATCCCATGCTTCAAGGTCAGTACCCATCTAGGGGTTTGTATCAAGCGCTTGCTGTTGCTGCTATGTGTGTCCAGGAGCAACCCAACATGCGACCTTTGATAACAGACGTAGTTACAGCCCTAACTTATCTTGCTTCCCAGAAATACAGTCCAGAGACGCAACCAGTCCAAAGGCTCAGCTCCGGTTCCTCGACACCTAGAATGAGACGAGAACTGTGATAGCAGCCGCAAACGGAAAAAAAATTGCCCAAGTATCTGAGTTGTTCTGCTCCTTTGGAGTCATGGTAGTACTGCTTTTAACCTTTGTAAGTTCCACTTCAGAATGGTTTTAAGGATGAATGAGCACGAGGATGGGTATGCCTTCATTGGCTAACTGCAAATGATCGGTGTTTGCCTAATGTTGCAGTTCTCCAGATGCCCAGCAAGATGTTCAATTTGGCTATCATGTTTATTTGAGAAAGGAAGAAAATTGTGAAGGAAACAAGTTGAATCTCCACTCGCACCACGTCTACAGTGTGAAAAGGTCTTCTTTTTTGGTTATTTTCCTCGTTTGGTACTTGCAGGTCGTCGTTCCCGTGTGCAACTTATTTTCAGATTTACCAGATGTATCATATGAAGTTCTTTCTATTTCCCGAGTGGATTATGAAGGCTTCTTTATCTAAATGTTCATATAGAGGGCAGGTATAATATGTATACTTGCTAGTATTGGGAAGTCTTGAATTTGTTGGCTGATGGGATCTTGTGAGTTATATAATTGGTTTGCGCCAATGTACTTCTTGCATTTTTCCTTGTGTTTTTTATTCCATTATTATTGAATATTTTTTTAATTGATTACAGATTGAGGACTTGAATGTTCATAGGGGAGTTCGACTGATTGGTTATACCTAAAGGAGGCGTTTACAAATTTCCAAATTGTAACGAGTCATACAACGAACTACTAGTATATTGCAAGTGTATCAAGACCCCCAACAGAAGTTGGGGCTCGTTTGTTATGACTTTTGAGATTCAAAAGTTAAAATGCTTCTAATTGGAAAAGCTTTTAAAAATAGGTGATTCAATATGACTTCCTCTAAAAACTCTTCTAAAAGCGTAATATTTTAGAAATTAGTTTTCCTTGGAATTTTTCTATGAGAAACAAAAGTACCACAAAACTCTACTAAACATCGAGGAAATTTATAACCATGATACTCTTTGAAGATGAGCAAGCGTGCATGAATGTACAAGCCTTAAAAGGAGTGCACAATGAAATGTTTGTCGAGTCAGAATGGATAATACTAGGATATAAATAGTTTAAAATATGATCCATTGTATTGTATTTTACTTGTGTTCAATAGTGAATGTGCATGTGGAACATGCCCTTCTGAAAAAAAGATCAAACTCCAGCCCCAGTTGTAATTTGTGAAGCCTTGCAAGAGACCAAACAATATGAAGAGAATGAAGACACAAATAAATAAAACTACACACAACTCCAATTTATGAGCCACAAGTGGCCAAAGTTATTGAAGCTCATCACATTCAATACATGAACTGCTACATACGTTAGTCAAGCAGGTTCCAAATTAGCATCTTTTGACACCTGATTTTTGCTCGTCGTCTTCACAGAAAATTCTGTCACTGAATCCAACGCTGCACCATCTTTAAGACTGAGATTGGACAGAGCATCGCTTAATGCATTAGTAGCAGCTGAAACCTCGGCTATTCCCGTACTATTGCCCATTCCAACTTTTGTGGGACCTTGACTTGGTTGAGACTCGATTTCCAGCTCGAGTTTAGTGAACTCATCTTCAAGATCTTCCTCTTCAATTTCAGTTAATGCTAAATCTGATCCTGGAAGGGACCGAAAACACTTGTTAGATAAAACAACGTTTATCAAACTAGATTACTACAGAAGATAGTATCCAGGAACGTTGTAAAGGGCTAAAATAATCACTCCTCATTTGGCAAGTTTAAAGCACCTTTAGGAGCCTTGAATTCATCCATTGTTGTCATTTCCCAGTCCAACAGAGATCAGATGCTACTCACAATTGTGCTATACATTCCCACATAGAGCATGTTTGGCTAATCATAAAAAAGTACCTAGTACTTTTTGAAAAGTAGAGACTTTTTAAAAGTTCAAACACGTGAAAAAGAACATGTTACAACCTTTAAGCTTACATATGTATTTGGTGAAGATGGAAAGTTACTCTCAAGTATGTTAACATTGTTTTAGGCTTAGCCAAACACACTAAAAAACAAATAATGGATCCTATGTTTAAATGCAGAACCAGAACATTTCACATTTACTGATTCCTCAATCATTTCATTCAGTAACAAAGCCAATGGTAAAATTGCACTGGCATGAAGTAATTCCTCTTACCCATCTTTATCATTTTGGTTAGTTATCAACGTTAATGCAAATAATGTATGTCCCCAACTTTGAAATCTACAATTCAAATTAGGACAGCAGAAATTACCTAAAACTTTGTCCACTTGCTTCAAAGAATCAATGCTCTCATCAAGATGCTGAAGACACAGAGTAACTTCTTCAACAGTTGTCTGATTATCCTTCAATGCTTGTGTACTTATTTGGATAGCCTCAGAAACCTACATCGGAGGTCATAAGGTGAGTGAAAACAGAAACAATCATCAGTTTCAAGAATGTCCTTGAAGTGACCAACTGTCAAAAACTCCAATCATCCATCCGGAAGGTTACCAGAACTTTCTCAACTATAGCCTACACTAAGCATTGGCGCAAATAGTTCCCAACTATTGCAATTTTCATAATTAAAGTAGTGCAACGGAGAAATATTGGATTATTAACAACCTTATTAGAGGACTCAGCGTCAGAGATAACTCTAAGAACTTCTTCAACTCGGTCCAACAGGTTTGTGCATTTATCTCGGCTCTGAGATGTCAGCTTTAGTTCTTTTGCACATCTCAGGGCTGCACTTTTGTTGCCACATTTCAAAGAAGCTAGAGCTGACTTCCTAGTTCTGCAAAATGATCCAATGCTCTAATGAAGAGAATAATTCCAAACCAAATAAAGTTAGATAAGCTATTACTTAGCTGTCATAGGCCGTAAGCTTAGAGCCAACAATAGATTTTAAGCAAGCATCCCAGGAATATAATAATGCCCAACTTCAAAAGCATGATATAGGATTTGATAAACTATACAAGGCCAATTTTCTATTAGGACAAGCCAGAAGTACTACGAGTGAAATGATTTACAGGTCTTACTTTTCATAACGCTGGTCAATCAAATCAAGCTGTTGCTCAAGTTTTTCCGCTGTCCAGATTAAGTGTAAAACATTGTAATCTACACTTGTGATGCTAGAAACTGCTCCTGGATTAAGACAAACTTTTACTCCCTGGGAGAAAAAATAAATGCTCAGATCACTAAAGGTATAGGTTCTCTTTAAATTGAACTAGACTAAAAATTACTATGAATTAATACACATACTATTGGTAGTTTTCACAATTTTTCAAAAGTTAAATCTATCTAGTGAACAAAATAAGTGGACTAGTTTCAAACAATATTATTTGGTAGTTACAATCAGCACTGATTTTTGTGAAGTCACTTCATAGATCATATGGAGTGGTTGAAGTCCCAAAAGGAGTTCATGAATATCTTGTTTATTGGACCAACTCCATGGTTTTCATAGAAACTCGTAACAAACAAGGAAGAGTCTCAATTAAAACCTAAATCATGTCCTGAATGGTTTTATCCAACAGACAAATTTCATGCAAAGCGGGTTGCTATAAAAAGTTGATCCTTTATCAAACATCCTGCCCAGCTTCTGCCAGTACATAATGTGAACAATAAGTCTCGAACAACAAGAATATGATTAAAGTAGAAATAAAATAGTCCTTGTGCATGCTACTGTTTGTCCGTTATAAGATGTTATGTGAATATAGTACCATATTCCTTTACATAGTCAAATAGTGTAATGTCACTAGCTTTTATCGAGTATCAGTAGTTATCCAAGAAGTGTCACAGCGGAACATTTTATGGATCTCAAATGTTACTTGCTCATTAGACAGAGGCTCAGATGATCCCCTCGTGTCCAAATGATTTTTTTATTTAGTTTAGTTTATTTCTTATCCCAAAATCCACTCGCATAATTCAAAATTTTCAAGGATCAGCGTGTGAAACGGGTTCAAGTTGGCAAAGAATTAGACAACCCCTACTCACCTTTTTGGATTGCCAAGTTTTGCTCGAGATGAGGCTAAACATGGAGATATCAGCTGTCTTCAACAGCTGGTGTTTGACGAATATATTGTGCTAAAATTTCTGATTCGTAAATTCAAACATACAATCAGCTGATCCTCGATTAAAATTAAGAGTATAATTGGGCTTTGAAACAATTAAAATAACCGAACTCCACCAATTAGGCCTGAAACGTTAAGGACCCATTTCATTCCACCAGACCTTCTTTAGCCTTTGATCTTGTCCTTAATGATTTTACTACTTTATGTGATAATATAATAACACAGAGACAACATGTGGATGGACAAAATGATATAATGGTTTGCTCTCAAAATTTGAGTATTTCATGTGTAGCGTGCTTGCAGTGAGGCATTTTTTTTTTTGCACTTCATAGCATTCCCTTTAGGTACAAAGAACATGGCTTGCAGTATGGCATTTCTTTGCACTTCATAGCTTTCTGTTTAGGTACAAAAAACTTGGCATGCACTCCAAAGTAAAAGGAAATATTACTAACATGTTAGATAATAGAGCAAAAAAATGACAGAAATCAAAATAAACAAGTATTTTAACGACTTCATGCAAGGGGATGTAATGTGGTGGAAGGAGACATCATTGAAATACACAAGAATCAGTTTCTTTCACACTAAACCACAAACACACAATATTACGTGTTCAATTTGCACAATTCATTTGAAGAAGAAACTCACATGACACTGCTTCGCACTTCACAATGTCATACCACAACTTATCTCAACAATCCTATTTATAGGAATCACGGATTGATTAGACATTAGGAAGGTTTAGACAGCAATTCAGAGTGACAACCAGAAATCTTCAGGTTTAAGACTAGGTAAGCAATGATGTAGGCATCGATAGCAACAAGGATTACAATAGAGAAAGATAGGAGAATAAAAAGAGAAACTCATAGAACATTAACTAGCTATGTGTTCACTGTAAGCATAACCGTATCCATCATTCTATTGGTACAGTAAGAGAAAAGAAACAACATGACTGTTGTCTGTTGAGCACCAGAGTAGAATAGAGATTCAACAAGGGCCTTATTAGAGTGCACAGGACTATATGGCTTACAAAAGCGCTTCCAATAATGGGTGAGGATACAAATTGATATTATAACCTGACAGCTATTTATGAGAATCTGATGTTCCACACGAAGATGAAACATATGGAAGTACAATATAATTTAATGAGAGAAATAAGCGTTAAAGAGGGAAATAGAGATGAAAGAATCAAGACGAAGGAGAAAGTTGGTTTGAAACTGTGGCTGCTACAAGAATTGAATATTATAAAGCCTTTGCTTATGCAAGAATTTCAACTATTGTGCCATGGTTTATCTTTTTCATCATCGATATATTGGGTGCACCACAACTTAAAAATAATGTAATTTACCTCTACACGATCGTTTTTGTTGATCACAAGGTACTTTGCTTTCTGACATTCAGACAAGTGACTCAAAATTACGGATGCTTCCTTTGACCCTCCACAAATTTCCTGGAACTTTCTCATTGTGATAACGCATGAAGGCGTCCAATGATTTTGAGAAAAATACTTGACAACTTCGAGAGATTTTTCCTACAAAAAGTTTTTACAAAGTTCAGTCACAACTTTTTCCTGTAATACATCAAACAAAAATCATACACACTACATTGGAAAAAACCTTTAACATCGGGGCCAGTATGTAGCAGTCTTCCGTCAGACTCTCAAGCGTAGTTGATGCCCAAGATAAGCTCATTAGATGTGCTGCTTTGCGAAAAATCTGAGGTAGCCGCCAACCTTCAGTTGTTGGATCCAAGAGATGTGTAACTGGCAATAAATCCCCAGCATTATGCATTTCCACAAGTACACGATCAAGGCACAAAGGGGATAAGCCACCTCGACGGAACCATAAATTTTTGACGTGGCTAGGATGAAGGATGAATATGTGAAGGTGCCTAGCTACTTTGATGATCAGGTCCCTCCAGAAAAAGTAAAGGGGCTCCCAATCGCACCTCTGTCCACTCAGTGCCTTGAACCTGGATTTCATCTTCTCTTCATTGTCCCAATCTCTCACCTCCTTCATCAAAAAATTGGCCACCATCCTTTCTTCCTCGATATTTCTCTTCTCGGCATCCATACCTCATCACTTGATAAATATACTAGCTTCTTTTCAATTTCAACCTATATTTTCCCTGTTTAAACTTTATTCCCCACTCCCACTAGGTAAATTTGGGATTTCTTTTTGTTCCCCACTTCATGTGCAAAAGAGAAATTTATCCTATAAGGATCAAAAAAAATTTCTCAATAAGCCCTGATTAGCCAACTATTTATAACTAAAAAATATAACTTCGCTCTAAAGATAGAAAAATTCCAATTGTCCACTCAGACTCTGCTTAGGAGGATCAATAATTGATACTTGTTGTACCAGTGATGTTTTTTCATGGAAGTGAGTTGAAGGGATTAGTTCCTAAAGAATGAGAGGAAAATACTCTTTTAACTTAATATTGGTCAACTTAACTTGTCAGGGTCGAGTTTAATCTTCAATTTCTTCTTCTGGTGGGGAAAAAAAGAAATAGACATAAAATTTGAAATCCAATAAGCAAATTTGTGTTGTCACAATTCTGATAACTAAAGCATGCCAAATGTTGACATGATGATCAATGAAACTTTGGTAGAAGGGATCTTTCTCAATAAGGCATTACTTGATGAGTAAACACACCCTTGTTAAAATAAATTTGAGAGAAAAACCTTCATTTCTATATAATATTTCAAGTAATCAAAAAGCCTCTACGTTTGAATATACTAAATCCAGATTGTAATCACATTCAAACCACTTTAAAATCTTATGAAGAAAATTGACCAAAATCGAAGCAACCAAAAGCACTCTTTGCAATTTAAATACATAATAAAATATCTATTCATATCTCAAACGTTATTATTAATCAAGCATGGTTATCTTTTTCTTTCGTAAAATTAACATCACAAGAATTGCACTCAAACTGGAATTTTGTCGATGTTGGTTGAACCAAACAAAAAATAAAACACAAATTTTGAAAACCGAATATTAACTACAAAATTTAAACCAAATGAATAACCAGTGAAAATTGCTAAATTACTGTGAGCAGAGGAGGATTAATCAAATAAACAAGGAAATGAAAGGCGAAGAGAATAGAATCGAAGAAATTATAATACCTCGTGTTCGAAAGAGAGAACAAGAGGTAGCTTCAAAACTACCACTTCATTGTCGAAATCATGTAGAACAATAATTCAAAGATCCTTCCATTAACTCAATTCTTAATGGGTTTTCTGGTTCCTGATTATGCCGGTGTTTTTGTGATTTTATTGGACCCTAAACATTTTTATTTTTTCCTTCTAAAATAACTCGAATATATATATAGGTAGAAAATTAATTTCAGAATTTAATATAGGTCAAAGTCAACGATTAATTTTAATAATGTATTTTATAAGATTTAACACTCTTCAATTACATATTTTATCAAATTTCATCAAAATATACTAAAAATTTAATTTTAATTTCCATCAAGCAGCATAGTTATATCACGCATTATAAAAGTAGGAATAAATTACTTAAGTTCATATTCAGCGCTGCACCAAATTTTACACTATTTTACATTAAATTTTACACCAAACTAAAATTCATCTTCAACTATTATACTAAAAGTTACACTAAATGAACAGTATTTAACCATTTTCTTCCCCCTTTTTTTCTTCTTTATAATTTATTTATTTGAAATATTATTTATTTAATTATTTTATAAATACATAAATTACTAAATAAATAATTAAGTTAAATTACGGAAAAGATTAAATTCATTAATAAATATGTTAATAAAAACACTGCAACAACGAAAATATTAAATCATGCCATCAGAAAATAGTACAATGCATTTCAAATTCGGATAGACGATATTTCAAAGTCGTAAAATTTTTGCAATTTAATTCTTGAAATTCATATGTTATTCCCACAATTTTTTTCTTCTTTTAATTAATTTATTAATTATTATTTCTTACATTTAAAGTTTATTTTAAATGCAAATAATAATATTAATAATACTGATGATGATGATGATGATGATTTATTGTATTAAAAAATATATAACACAATTGACACAAAATACCTTTAAAAAATCTATTTGGAAAGGATAAAAAATGGCAAAAGAGACTTTATACACTTTGCACCAAAATGGTGCAAAATATAGTGTGGCATTGAAGCAACTTTATATCAAAAAATGGTGCAAATTGGTGATTTGGTGTTACCATTGGAGTTGCCCTAAGAATATTATTGTAGTTGCATTAGCACAATAATAAAATATTGGATAATAAAATTGATATTACAGAGGGATTGAGTAGATTTTGGGTCCAATCGAAAACCGACCAAGTCCATTTGGAGGAATTGATGACTAAATCTACCTAACAATGTTGTTGAAATCGAATCGATCCAAACTGTTTTGATTTGTGTCAATTCAATTCCACAATCGTTTCTAATTTTGTGTACCAAAAAATTCTTGTCAATTATAATCGGTGAATGCTTTAGCAACTGCATTGCCATTTTATCTTGTATTCAATAGTCTACATTTTGCATGTCTTTCAAATACATTAGAGTTTCAAATATATATATTTTTTAATCTGGTAGAACATTATACCTGCACTAAATGCAGCTTTTGATGCTATAGTTGAAGCTAGAGACGTTAGTAGATAATGTTTCATAACAAATAATATCAAATTTACTTTTCATTTGTTTGCCACCATATGAGAAGGTCAAAAATTTTTATGTCCTTTCGGTTTAAAACATTAAGAAATGTGATATGAAAATTGTAAGTGTTATGCTTTAGGTCCAATCAACTTTAGATATAAATATTCGTAATATATAATTGATGCAGTTTTAATGGCAGATCTATTATTTAATAAGACAATTAAATTAAATAATAAAATCCGTAAATTCAAATCTTCATAATTTATTAATTAAAAGGAGTTGTGATTGTGATATACAAATTACATATGATTGAATACTAAATCGTCCGTGGTCATAAGTAATAACGAGATACGGATATCATTATTATGGATAGACCATCGCCTGTGACATTTATTACTTATGAAGTAAGTAGCTGATCTCACAAACTAAAGTGTGGTGATACTTTTATGAACACGTGGACATTTTGTTATAGAACAAAATATTGGAGACCCGCCTAGAGATTCCATATGGATAACTATCTGAGTGTCAGTGGTTAATCTCTAACGCTCGATAGTGGGATTTGTCCTTTAATTTGAGGTCGTCATAATATCTTATATGAGGACAGTCATGCTTTGACGGTATTGGATATTGCTCTGCCAATGGCCGTTAATACGACATCATTCGGGTATGTCAAGATCCGTATGAAGATTGTGAATGACTAATAGAGGATTTGTCACTCTTAGATAATAAGAGATTATGATTTGCATTTTATTCAATTAAGTCGATAATGAAATCCTTGGCCAAGGTGTACTTGTAAGTTGAAAAAGAGTTTTCGATTTATATTGACTTAATAGTGGAGTGAAAGATATGATCGATAATCGAGATTGACACACTTCTATATCTCGTAATTGATCGGATCATACTGATGAAGGGATTATATTTTCACAATAAATGAACGAGTTTGATTTTGTCATACCATGTGAGATTTTCTGTCACATGCATTGCCCTGACATATTGCTAGATGTCAATTTGGGACGGCGAGTGTGAATTGATGATAAATTAAAAGGGTATTTTAATTTATCAATTTTGATTAGATCAAAATAATATTTCACGTCATTAGATATCGTGATTGAGAACCTGATGGGTCGCACACGAAAAGAGAACTGGAAGATTGTGATTTGCCAATTAATTAATTTAACAAGTGTTGAATAAATTAATTAATTGGGTTGCTTATTTATAGGCTTGAATTGATTAATTAGATTAATTGATTTATGGACAGAATTTAATTAAATGGATTAATTAAATGTTGGATCGGGTCAGGCCAAGCCCGTTCGGGCTTATATAAATATGATTAGGGTTTTCAAATTTAAAAAGATTTTTCATTATTCTTGCTAGTACAAGAAGAAATCCCTAATCCTGCAATCTTATTCTCTGTGTGGATTATCGTTGGAGGTTGGACTATTTGACAGTTGTAGGAGACAGATCCAAATTGCTGGAACAAAGATATGGCAAAGGAGTTTGCAGATCTTGTAAAAGATACGTCTTTATCACAGTTTCTATCTAAATACAAAGATAAATCCCGATGGTAATTGAAATTTATTTTAATTTTCCGCTACGCATATTAAATAGATTCCCAACCAAAATATCTAGCTAACTCTACAGGGATTTCGTTTCATCTGTTACTACTAGCACCGGAAGAAAAATGGGTAAATGAACTTCTTACAGTCACCCTATTTAAATAGACTAATACATCGTCAACAAGATATGACAAAATAGTAGAATATGATGGCGGCGGTGCATTATTTCTATCATTTTTGGTGGCATATTGTGAATACAAATTGTACTAGGTAATACCTACAGGGTCGGTCCTGTGATAATAGAGGCTCGAGGCGAGGTCCGTAAATTGGGCCCTCGGACGAAATCAACGTAAAAATTTGCGTAAAAATCTAATAACATTTTCAATTATGTACGCAAAAATTTGAGCATTACAAGTTTATGAAAACAATACAAAATTAAAATAACATCCAAAATCCAAAACTATCCCCCAAAAAAAAAAAAAAAAAAAAAAAAAATTTGAAGCAAAATTGAGCCCACTAAGGGTTTTGGGCCTGAGGCTGAGGCCTCAAATGCCTTAGCCTAGGACCGGCCTTGAATACCTATATCACAATGTGTAATGAGGATATCAAACCGTAAATGAAAAGAAATTATTTCGATAATATCTTTAGTAACTTGTAAGTTAATACAAGGGTCCATGACTACATCTAGAAGGAATTACACGAGCAAGTCCTAATATTTGTTGAATTTCATCTTTATGGTAGCAATAATAGCATAAAAAACGAATAACCTCTATATTTACTAATTCTTTTTGCTATATTAAGCCCGTGTTTGATCTCCATTTTTTCAAAAATATATCTTTCTCTCTTCTTTTTAACCACGCATTCTTTAATAAAATAATATTACACGTAAATTTAAAATATTTCTTTATTTTTTAACCACACGTTGTCTATCAATTTACTATTCTAAAATGTATTATTAGAAGATAATGAGGGCTCAAACAGGCCCTAAACAACTGAGTCAGAACAGTAAGAGTAGTGGGATAGTAGACACCCGTGCACACATTCAATAACTTAAAATGCAATTATCATTTTACGCATTATCCAAAACTTATCTATATAATGAGAGATGATGCAAATATAGCCTTTATGATTTTTTGGGACCATGGATCGAAAGTAAATAAAATCTCACTTCTATGATTTGTTAAATCATCAATAACCTATAATTTTCTAATATAATATAAATTAATAGCATCGTTTTGTAGCATACTTCGATTAATCAATTTGTACTTGAGTTGAAGATATGATTGTAGAATTTCGGCAAGTGCAAGCTTTTGACTGTATATAACGACAACTCGAAATGGACTAAGAACATAGTCATGCATTCTTGCATTTTTCTATGAATTATATGTTGGGAATTTACTTAAACATGCACGGCGAAATTAAACAATTTCAATTCACATTCAGAATTCAGTTTTGTATTTAGATAAGAACTGTGATAAGAAATACATATTTTTCTTGATTTTGCAAACTCCTTTGCGTTATTCTTTTCAACAACTTGAATCTGTCTCCCACAGCTATCCAATTGTCCAACCTCCAATGAAATCCACACAGAGAATAGACTGCAGCTACTAGGATTTTTCTTCTTGTGCGAGCAAGAATAATGAAAACATTATGGACCTTAAACCCTAACCATGTATTTATATAAACCCAAACGGGCTCGGTCCTGTCCGGTCCAATATTTAATTAATCCATTTAATTAAATTTGGTCCGTGAATTAATTAATTCGGGATATAAATAACCAATCAAATTAATTAATTTATCCAACGATTGTTAAATTAATTAATTGGCAATTTGCAATCTTCCAATTCTCTTTTGTATGCGACCCATTAGGTTCCCAACCACGATGCCTAACGACGTGAAATATTATTTTGATCTAATCAAAACTGATAAATTAAACACCCTTTTAATTTATCACAAATTCACACTCGCCGTCCCAGATTGACACTAATAATGTATCAGGGCAACACATGTGACGAAAAATGTCACGTGGTATGACAAAACCAAAACTGTTCGTTTACCATGAAACTACAATCCCTTTGTCTATATGATCTGATCAACTA